TATTGAAAAAGAAAATGAATATTGTGTTTTGCCTCCTGTAAATCCCGTTGTAATTCCTCTACAAGATGACTCTAGCGGCAGCTCCGAAGGCGAGGATGATATATAAATACCTATAATGTAAGTCTTTATATACCTTTTTATATACCTACCTGCTATGTAAATATTTGCCTATGTCAAACGTTGGAATTCTGTAATTTTTCCATTTCTTAACTTTCAGTCAACATAAATTAAACTCCCAATATAAGTATGTTTTATCCCAAATCAAAAAAATAAGAAGATAGTAAAATCCATTTATTGTGATATAAAAACATTATTATTATCGTTCTAAATAAATGACCGCACGCCTATGATACGTCACGAAATTACAAAGGACGCGCCGACCAAAGGTTTTTATGCTATTTCAAGTGACTTCAGATAAAGTATACTACAATATACGTTTTTATTGACCATGTGTTGACTGGTTTATTTTTAACAAATTAAATCCTAACGTTAGCCAAATGCGGGTATGGATATGTGTTATAATAGGACTAGCTATACTTCAGCCTCTGAGTTCTACCAATTTAGATTAAATATCCATCAAGAGTTGATCGATTTAGCTTGTAAGTTTCAGGTGTAACGGCCTATAAATACAACACTTGTAAGCTCGCACATCGGCACAGAAGACGTATTATAATATTTGGTTTCCTGCATACCGCTGTGATGTGTTCTTTAATCTGCTTTTAACAACTGCATCCGTTTTGTGATTACTGCGATTATTATTGACCGTCGTAACTTTTTCTTCGAAGAAAACTCGATCGACATTGCTAGTGCGTGCTACTGCAATATTCCGAACTGTTTCAAATTCCATCACAATCGGGATCTCGGAAACTGTCAGAATATTGAATGGAGGCAAAATTGCGTGTTTAGGTAATCAATAAAACGCCGCTTAGAAAGTTTCTAAATTCATGGTACTTCCGGCGAGACTGAAAAATGGAATATTCCCGAAATCGTTTTAATTTCAAAATAAATTGCACATTAACATTGCCACTTTTTCTCTTCTACAAGATGGCGTAATTAGAATTTCAACATGACGTGTCGTCTTTTGTACTCCAGCATATTTTTTTGTATTATGCACGTCATATTGGATTTTTGCCCAAATGATTCCAAAAAGATAGGCCTTGAAATTATCAGATAGTCTTTGGATTCGTGTACCAGACCAAACCTGAAATTGAACATAGTAACAGAGTTTGGAATACACCAACTACGTTTCTTCATAATCTATATACTTGACTATGACTTTGAAGTTGAGTCATTAATTTTCAGATAATGATTGTAGAAGGAAGATAAACCAAAATATGTGTGTAAAAATAAAAAAAAATTTACCTTGTTTTATAAAGTATCCTCCCGACAAGTATTTCAGTGCGGACCTGTATTTGATCGTGAGGTCTTGTCCCCTGTGAGGTCTTAAGTCACCTGATTCACGAGCCCGTTGTACTACATTAACAAAGGCACGAGGGGTTGGTTGCACTTGATTGGGAAACCGATCCGCATAAACATGTGCCATTTTTTATTTCGTTTGAGCCACGCAACAGACACCACTATTCACTCACGCGTTACCGACTGACACTGACTGTATACAACTGAATAACATAATTGTAAAAATATCGTTCCAAATTCTTTCGCTTTTTTGTTTCCGATGCGATGAACTGATAAGGCGGATTATATCCGTTGTTGCCAAACACGAGCACATAATATTATTATTGAGACAGGGCGGTACTCAAACTTCCAAAGGGCTATAACTTTGTTACTTTAATTTTACCAGAAAAATGGTAAAGGAAAAAAACATTTCTTTTGATCAGATCTACTCACTGTTAAAATAAATGACTCAACTTCGAAGTATATGAATTTTGCACACATAAATGTATAAATTCAGTGATGTTGGCCATGAATTTGTTGTTGGATTTATAAAGAAATAAAAAGGTATGGTGACACCTGAAAACAAAATGAAAATTTTGATGACGGTAATAAAATAATGATCATAAATAAGCACAGCTAAACCATAGCAGACGTTCAAATATAAAATAATAATAATAGACGTCTTTATTTATCCACAATTACATTGTAGTATAGCCAAATGTCAGACTTACATGGCAAATTTTATCATACTCTTACACTTAACCATATAGTCGCTAGCAGATGTTCAAATGTACATGTACGTATATTGGTTTATTACATTGAAAGTAAAATTTAAAAAAAGAAGGCATACTTTCCAATCCCAAGTACACCAAAAATTATTAACCCGAATTAAAGAAGGAATAAAAAAGAAATGCATCATTACGGAAATTATATGTTTGAATGTTTTACCTTTTTGTCGAAAGACAGGTAATGGAAATTCTTTATATACTTTAGGAAGGTCGTTATAAATAATAGTAACATTTTAGGAAAAACTGCGTTTTAAAATTGTAGACGTATGCTGGGGTATTCTAATATTATTTTCACTGAGAGTTCTACAGTGAACATCATTATTAAATTAAATTTTTTCCCTCAAATAATAAGGTTTAGACGTGAGTAGCAACTTGTGAACAAAAACTGAATAGTGATACTTGACCATGTCATTAATTTTTAACCAGTTTAGAACGGGATATTTCGCTGATACATGATCAAATTTACGTAAGCCAAAGATGAAACGTATACAATTATTATTTTGAAGAAGTTGAATAACGTTTTTAGTGAAATTGTGGTACACGATATTACAATAATTTAGTGTAGATATGACCAATGCTTCACATAGTTTTTTACGCATCTTAAAATTTAGTAAATACCTGTTTGCTATAAGAGTACGTAGGTGTTCAAACTTAATTTTGTATCAAAAACAACACCAAGAATTTTTGCAGAATAAGAACATTGCAAGATATGGTTATGTATTTGAATTATCAAGAGCTGTGTTACATTGTATCTTTTTCTTTGTGCGCAAAATAATATTTTAGATTTTTGTGGATTAATAAGTAGATTGTGATCTGAAGAATATTTAATTCATTTATACTAAGTGACATATAAATCCGAACACCCAGTTTAAATGGTTTTATTTTAATAAAAGTTGGTGAATGTATTTATCTTACTGTAAATAACAAGTGAAAAAATTTTCAGCCTTATCAGTTGGACATTCCGGTTTTTATACTGCTTTTTTTTTAATTCATTAACGCTCTAAAAATGAATATTTCAGTCGCAGTAAAGCATCAACGTTGGCGGATTTTGGTTCTTGACATCCTTTACGATCGGTTACGATGCCTAGAGTACGGAGACCTGTACGATTTCGTCAACTTAGTGAGTTTGATAGGGGCCGTATAGTGGGACTTCGGTAAGCTGGACTTTCTTTTCGGGCAATTGCAGTTAGAGTGCAAAGAAGTGTAGACACTGTGGTTAGGTGTTGTCAGGCATGGCTTCGAGAAGGCCGTACTCAAAGAGCAAGGGACACTGGACGCCGCCGTAGAACAACAGACCGTGAAGATCGCCGCCTAAGATTATTGGCCTTAAGGGACCGTTTCTCCACTACCAGGTCCATTGCAAATGAATGGTTTGCAGAACACGGAAGACCTATTGGCATGCGAAGTGTTTACCGACGAATGAGAAGGTTTGGCTTGTTTTCAAACCGGCCACACTGGGTCCTCCCTTTAACTCGAGAACACCGACGTAATCGCCTTGAGTGGTGCAGACAACGGTCACTCTGGGATCAGGAATGGAACAGTATTGACTTTAGTGACGAGTCTCGATTTTGTTCAGGCATGCACGATGGTCGTGCCAGGGTTAGAAGGCGACGCGGTGAAAGGAGGAATTCCCTATTTTTATGTTGAAAGACATGTTCATCACACTGTTGGAGTTATGGTTTGGGGTGCTATAGCTTATGATTCCAGGTCACCTTTAATCTTCATCAGAGGTAACATGAACGCGCAGCGTTATATCCACGAAGTTCTAGAACCCCATCTTTTACCCTATCTTGACACCCTGGCAGATCCAACTTTCCAACAAGATAATGCCCGACCACATGTTGCAAGAGTCACAATAGACTTCTTTCAACATAATGATGTCACATTGTTACCACGGCCACCAAGATCTCCCGACTTATCCCCAATTGAGCACGTGTGGGATATGATGGGTAGGAGATTGCTCAATTTGCAACGTCCTCCTCAGACTCTAGAAGCACTTCGAGAGGGGTTGGTGGTTGCCTGGAATGAGATACCACAGGAGGACATTGACCACCTGATCAGAAGCATGCCTAGGCGCGTTGGAGAATGCGTAGCACATCAGGGTGCATCCACACATTATTAAAGGTCAAAGGACTTTAAAGCAGTACAATCATTTTGAAATTTTTATCATTTACTTATTATGCTTCATTAAGTACTTATAAAAAATTTTATTAAAATAAAACCATTTAAACTGGGTGTTCGGATTTATATGTCACTCAGTATATATTCAGAGTTTAATTTATTTCTGAAATAGTTCTCGTACACTAGTGAATTGACAGGTTTGTAGCTATAAACAGGCATAAAATAATCGTTAATTTTGGAAGGGTTGGTTTACTACGGAAATGTATATCAAGTTGTAGGGTTTTGTTTTGGTATATTTTATTCCATCTTTAACTGTCCACTGCTATATAATTTTATCATTCTGTAGCTTTTTCTTACCCTATGTCGCACGCATATCTTCTAAACATCTACGAGGGTGGTCCAAGTCTTCGAAAGAAAAACGAAAATTTTGAAAAAGTCGCTTTTATTTCTCGATATGGAGGTCTGCAAAGTAGACCTCCGTGGAGGCGATAACCTCCTCATTAGACTCGGCGAGTGACTTTTTCAAGTTTGGAAGCAAAAAGAAATCGCACGGGGCCAAATCTGGAGAATACGGTGCATGGGGTAGCAGTTTGTAGCCTTATTCGACCAATTTGGCCGCGGCGACAGTCCGTTTTTATTTCTGCAAACCAGTACAGAGTCCGTCCACCTTCTCAACCCAGTTTTCTCTTGTTACAGATCAACCATCTGAACGACACCCACAAACAACTGATGGTGCATTGGGTAGGCGAGAAGAGCAACGTGGTGATATGCCTGGCTCGCGACCCCGCCCCGTTGATTCCAGGCTTCACCAAAATGGGGCCGTCGAACGTTTATATATCTTACGACGATGGAGATACTTACGTCAACAAGACGGACAGTTTCAAGTTCAACGGTAGCTACAGCGTGCTGGAGAAGTTCTACAATCATCCAAAGTATAATACGCACGTAAGTAGATCGTTGCTAATGTGTTATACAGGGTGGACCAACGAAAAGGTCGATCCCCTATTTGTGACCATCCTGGTATATTTTGGGAAAACTCTCGGACACGTCAATTTTGATTTCTAGAGGGACGCCTTTTCATCTATAGGGCGATCCAAAAATAAGATATTGCGTTACACTTTATATTTTTAAATAGAAACCCCAGTTTTTTTAGGTTTTTAGTAACTTTTGATACCAGCAAGAACAGTCAGTGTCATCGTATGTCATAGAAAAACGGTGTCTTTCATTTCAAATTGTCAAGTTACCTACCTAGTCGTGATGAATATTAAACAATGACTTATTCAATTCAAGAAAGGGTCTAAATATCTTTCAAACCAGCGAAAAAATATACGGTAATGGACAAACGTATATAGACAAATATGAATATTCACCTAAATACCTTTAGAAAACGAATTCATACTTCATTGCTCCATAAACAAATGCGTTATTACTAGAAAAACTAAATTCCCTGTTTTTACATTATCTGCAGTAGATAGGGTTTGTATGTTCTGGGACGCCCTTGAGAGCTGACATTCGGTGCCTTGAAACGTGACCTTGAAGTGCGACCTTGAAACGTGACCTTGAGTTTTCTAACGACCTTGAAGTGCGACCTTGAATTTTCGAGCGACCTTGAGTTTTTGAGTGACCTTGAAATGTGACCTTGAATTTTCGAGTGACCTTGAGTTTTGAGTGACCTTGAAGCGTGACATTGAGTTTCCGGGTGACCTTGAAGTGTGACCTTGAACATATATGACCTCGAGCAGTCTCGACCTTGAGTGGGTGCGACCTTGTAGGAGTGAACGACCTTGAGAAGGTTGGCACCGAAGGTCAGATCTCGAGGTCGTTTGGCACCGAAGGTCGGCGCTCAAGGGCGTGCAGAACATACAAACCCTATCTACTATCTGCAATAAACACAATATAAGTCTGAATATAAGCATTTTTTTATGAGGGACGAAAATATGTAGACAAATTCTTTTCAACATTAGTTTAGTACATTTTCGTGTCAGAAGAGGATTAGTGTGTGTTCATCAAGTATTGTGGAATAAGTTGAGTGATTTTAAGATCATGCCGCGTGTTCCAGAAATGTCTTTCGATGTGAAAACTAAGATCGTTGAGTTATACAACATCAAGTTGACATTGCCAAAAATTTGAAGCTGAAGCGTAAAGTAATATTGAACAAATATAAACAAAAAGGTATCTTGGAAGCCTCTAAGAGAAGTGGTCGGCCCAGAAAATTAAGTGCTAGATCAGTTAGATTAATAAAAGTAATTTCGTCCAAAGATCCGTTTAAAACCTCAAGACAAATAAAAGCCGAAATCGAGACAAAAGGAATTGTCAGTGTTTCTACGAAAACTATAAGTAGAAGATTAAATGATTTGAAGTTATTTGCACGTCGCCCGAGGTAAAACCGTAAGGACCGATTACAATTTGCACGGTTGCATCTTGATTGGAACATCTGTGACTGGAAGAGGGTATGTTTCAGTGACGAATCCAAGTTCAATATGTTTGGATCAGAGGGTGTTCATTACGTTAGACGTCCTAATGGACAAAGATTGAACCCCAAGTACACTTTGCACACTGTCAAACTTGGAGGCGGGTCTGTTATGGTTTGGGGGTGCTTTTCGGGACCTTTACATAGAATAGATGGCATTATGGATAAGTTTGTATACACAGACATACTAAAGCATGTCATGTTACCCTATATGGAAGACAATATGCCCTTAAGATCAATCTTCCAGCAAGATAATGACCCGAAGCACACTTCAATTCTTGCAAAGAAATTCTTTCTGGATGAAAAAATACCAGTTCTCAAATGGCCTTCACAGTCTCCCGATATAAACCCCATTGAAAATCTATGGGAATACTTAGATAAGCAAATGCAAGGTAAAAATTATTCGAACAAGGATGAACTTTTTGCCGCTTTAGAGCAAAAGTGTAGACAGATTGATAAATCTTATACGAAGAAACTTCTACAATCCATGCCGTGACGATGCCAGGCGGTGATTGATAATAATGGTTATGCTACAAAATATTAACACCGTTGGTTTTCTATAATTCAATGATCTTTGCTTCTTTTTTCTATAATTGTTTTGCTTTGTCTATATATTTTTGTCCTTCACAGCTCCAGTTATTTTCAATTATTTTTTTATTGAAGGGAGTCTAATGAATTTATTTATGTATAAGTGAGTATTATGCTATAACGAATTATATATATATACAGTTTGGTGTATTAATAAAACAAGTTAAAAAAGAAATACAGCCAAATATTAATTTGTCTATATACTTTTGTCAATTACTGTATATGTTATGTAAAAAGGGTCACTCATAATATTAAATAAATAAATTATAAATCGCCTGGTTTAGCTACAAAAACATATTTTTCCACTTGATCCGAAGATCAAAACCTGTGATTCGGATCAACAATGACCAATTAGAAAATGATTTCGTAACGCTGCATCGTAAATTGGCCAATCAGAAACAAGTACCATACACTCACCTTGTAGATGATATAACCAAATTCAAAACAAACATAAACACCTGAGAAAATTGAAAAAAAGGATATATCGGTTGATATTTTTTGTTTATGTTAATTCATTATCTTATGTACTTTATTGTATATTTGCAAGGTTCCAATTTTTTTAACTTCCTGTGTATGATCAAACTCCAAAGACAGTGTCGATAAACTTTATTAGACCATCATGTTGTTGATAACGTATATCAATAGTCTGTGTTTACAACAACTTGACAATCGGTCATGTTACGTAGTAAATTGGAGATTCCAGTAGATTTTACAGTTTAAAATAAATATCGATATTCTAAACTTTTCTCAGCTCTTTCTCTACATCTTTAATCAATATTTTTGGCGTATAATATACAGGGTGTTAATTAAGTATGTACCATAAATTTAACAGACGATTCTTTGAATAATTTTAAGACAAAAAGTTCACATAAACATGATATGCAGTTTCTTCGTTCTCAAGGTACAGGGTGTTAGATTTAAAAAAAAACGGTTTTTTCGTAAATATATAATAATATAATATTGGACAAAAAATAATCACTAAAGTCACTTTTTATCAAAATTGTTATATACTAAGTGACATATAAATCCGAACACCCAGATTAAATGGTTTTATTTTAATAAAATTTTGTATAAGTACTTAATGAAGCATAATAAGTAAATGATAAAAATTTCAAAATGATTGCACTGCTTTAAAGACCTTTAATAATGTGTGGATGGACCCTGATGTGCTACGCATTCTCCAACGCGCCTAGGCATTCTTCTGATCAGGTGGTCAATGTCCTCCTGTGGTATCTCATTCCAGGCTACCACCAACTCCTCTCGAAGTGCTTCTAGAGTCTGAGGAGGACGTTGCAAATTGAGCAATCTCCTACCCATCATATCCCACACGTGCTCAATTGGTGATAAGTCGGGAGATCTTGGTGGTCATGGTAACAATGTGACATCATTATGTTGAAAGAAGTCTATTGTGACTCTTGCAACATGTGGTCGGGCATTATCTTGTTAGAAAGTTGGATCTGCTAGGGTGTCAAGATAAGGTAAAAGATGGGGTTCTAGAACTTCGTGGATATAACGCTGCGCGTTCATGTTACCTCTGATGGAGACTAAAGGTGACCTGGAACCATAAGCTATAGCACCCCAAACCATAACTCCAACAGTGTGATGAGCATGCCTTTCAACAAAAAACTGTGGATTCCTCCTTTCACCACGTCGCCTTCTAACCCTGGCACGACCATCGTGCATGCCTAAACAAAATCGAGACTCGTCACTAAAGACAATACTGTTCAATTCCTGATCCCAGAGTGACCGTTGTCTGCACCACTCAAGGCGATTACGTTGGTGTTCTCGAGTTAAAGGGAGGACCCAGTGTGGCCGGTATGAAAACAAGCCAAAACTTCTCATTCGTCGGTAAACACTTCGCATGCCAATAGGTCTTCCGTGTTCTGCAAACCATTCATTTGCAATGGACCTGGTAGTGGAGAAACGGTCCCTTAAGGCCAATAATCTTAGGCGGCGATCTTCACGGTATGTTGTTCTACGGCGGCGTCCAGTGCTCCTTGCTCTTTGCGTACGGCCTTCTCGAAGCCATGCCTGACAACACCTAACCACAGTGACTACACTTCTTTGCACTCTAACTGCAATTGCCCGAAAAGAAAGTCCAGCTTCCCGAAGTCCCACTATACGGCCCCTATCAAACTCACTAAGTTGACGACATCGTACAGGTCTCCGTACTCTAGGCATCGTAACCGATCGTAAAGGATGTCAATGTATAATTTAATTTAGTGTTTATTTTGTTGTTGTTAGTAATAAAAAAATATAAAAAAGATAATAATTCTCAAACGAAATTTTCCCCATAGTCCTTGTGTAGTCCAGGATATGCAATTAAGTGGACTCTTTTTCTCGAAAACTAGGGAAAATACGAAAAAAATTCAAGAGACAAAAAAGTTGTGTTTCTCTTTGCTTAATCCAAACATAATAAAGATTAGGTACACAAAAATCAGAGGCGTATACTTTTTGTCTATGTACTATGTATTTATTATTAATTTAGTTCCTGTTTTTTTTTTCGCTTTTTTCTTTTCCTAATTTAAGTATTACTTGTGGTATATCCCATTGAGATCGCAGAATGAGTAAACAATTTGAATTTGCAAATTATAATGCTATTTTTTTAGTTACCATACTTTTCGGTCATATTGAATACACTGTGTTGCGTATTGATAACTGTTTTCGTTTATTCCAGTTTGTATTCACGGACATAACCAACAATTCTCTGTTCGTCACCACCGATTATGGCCAGAGCTTCAGAAGGATCCAGTTAAGTTTCACCCCTTCAGAGGTTTCCTTCCACGAATATCAGCCGTCGACGTTCGTCTTATTGGATAAAAACGACACATCTCATAAGGTTTGTATTATACACGGTTTCTAATTCCACAGATACAGGATGTTGTAAAATTTCTACTCTACCGATACTGATAAACATGAATATTGTTCATGTAACGATATAACATATTTCTTACAATTTTCAGAATTAAAACTCATTATTTCCAGCGTATTTTCAAAGTATCTAGCCTCAGATATTCAAATCAGTTTTTTTCTGACTAAAATTACTATTTTATTTAAAAATGCAATAGGTGTTTTAAAAATTTGTATGACATTTGGATCCTGTTTTTTTTTTTATATACGAGTAAAAGATTCTAGCTGCATTTTTTTGTTCTAGTTTTGGGTGACGGAGGACTTTGGAAAAACCTTCCGTCTGGCACACGAATTCGTAAAATCCTTCTACTGGTTCAAGGACAGCGACGAGAATTTGCAGCTGATCTTACAACGATCCGAACCGAACAACATGAGTTCGATAATCTATTCGAAAACGCTGTTCAAAAATAGAGCGTCTCAGATATATTCGACGAACGTTAAGGATTTCTTTTTGAAAGGAGACTACTTGTTTACCACCAAAAATAATTCGAAGGTAAGTGCTTTATTCTAAAATGTTCAAATAGTATTACTCACATAAAGTCCACTAGTTTTATGTCTTTAGACAAAGCCATACAAAAAAAAATTATTTTTGAAGTAGAATTTGCGGCAGGGTGTTAAAAATCAACCATTAAACAGGGTGTTTCAGTTTATTGTTGTGTTTAAATTTACTTTCTAAAATAGTTTTTTTTAAATATTTCGAACAATATTTGATGTATAACAGTGAAAATTGGTATACAAGGGTTTCATGGTACGACAAAACGAACCATGGGCATAGTTTTACTGTAGCCGCTAGAGGGCGCTCTCTACTGTACCTGTAGTGTATTAAAATGACCGAAAAATGTTTCTTAGTGCAATTTTTTGCTTTTTGAATAAAAAAACTGATTCTTCGCACTTTTGAACATAAAAAAGCTCTCTTGTAAATTTTCGTTATAGTTAGCCGTTTTTGAGATATTTCGATTTTTAAGGTTCGATGCATTTTTAATTATTTATGATAAAATAACGTTAAAAAGTCAGTATCTCGATAATTTTCAGAAGTAGGCTGTGCCTGCAAATATTTTTGAAATTGAAAGCAGAATAAGGTTAAACGTCAATTAGTTGACAGTTAGTTTTGTTGTCTGTTGAAACCTGAAACGTTTTTTTGCAATTGTGAATGCACGAAATTTAGTTTCTTTTACCTGTTTTTTTGTAAGTTTTATAAAAATGCCATTTTTATTCTCCAATCAAGAGTTAGCGGATATTCATTTTGTGTATGGCTTTGTAAATGGAAACGCAGCAGAAGCAGCCAGAGAATACGCACGAAGATTTCCAAACAGGCGACATCCAACTCGTTCAGTATTTGTAAGAGTGCATCGCCAAATAATTGAAAATGGTTTTGGAAATCTCCAAAGGGATCAAAACATAAATGTTCGTCAGCGCAGATACTGTGCTAATAATATTCCCGAAGATGTAATTCAATTTTATAATCGAAATAAGTTTCACCCAAACAATAACTTTTCTCTAAGAATTGCCGAACCGTTTGAAGTATTTCAGGCAATAAAAAGCTTAAAGTCGGATGCTAAGGGCATCGATACCTTATCTTTAACCATGATTAAAGTCAGTTTGCCTATAACGTTTGCTCATATTGTACATCTAATCAATTCATGTATTGAGAAAGGCTACTTTCCCACTATGTGGAAACATGCCTTAGTTATTCCTATCCCTAAAATTAACAAACCAACCCAGCTTTCAGATTTACGACCAATAAGTTTATTGCCGATGTTATCAAAAATCTTAGAAAAGATCGTTCAGATTCAAATAACTGCTTACATTGAAGAATGCAAAATCTTATCCACTAATCAGTCTGGTTTCAGAAAACACTATAGTACAACAGCTGCCTTATTAAATCTATGCGACAATGTGCTACGTGCGCTTGATAAAAAGATCACAGTAGCTTTGATATCGGTTGATTACTCTAAGGCATTTGATAGAATCAATCATATCCTTCTTCTAGCTAAATTGAAATATATTGGCTTTGATAATACCTCAATTAAATTTTTCTGTGCGTATTTAACCGACCGTGTTCAGGAAGTTTCTCTATCTAGACAGAGCTCTGTCCCAAGTGTCATACCATCTGGAGTGCCTCAGGGTTCTATCCTAGGTCCTCTCTTATTCCTCATCTACACCTTCGATCTATATGCAGTAATGGAAAATTCTGAAATGCAATCTTTTGCAGACGATACCCAAATAGTACATTATTTTAAAGCTAGTGAATTACCAACAGCCAATATAGAGCTACAACATGATATTGACATGGTTTGTAAATATTCAGCCGATCATAATTTGTTAGTTAATCCTGAGAAGTCAAAAATCATAGTTTTCTGTTCTGATAATAAAAGAAACTACGTAAAAGGTAACCTTAATATCTTTATTGACAGAAATCTTCTTCAGGTTGGTACTACTGCCAAGATTTTAGGTGTCGAGGTCGATGAGAAGTTAAGGTTTTATAATCATATCAACTGTCTTGCTCAAAAAACCTACCTCCGCCTACGCACTTTGTACTCTTGTAGGTACTTACTGAACTATAAGCTCAGGAAAAAACTCTGTGAAACGCTAGTGATGTCTTGTTTGAACTACTGTAACATCCTTTATTTCCCATGCCTTGACAAAATAACGAAAAATAGAATTCAAATTATACAGAATAATTGTGTCCGTTTTATATGTGGATTGAGAAAATTTGACCATGTATCACAGAAATACAGTACGCTGAAATGTCTCAAATTTGATAAATTGGTCGAATATCACCATCTAGTATTTATTCACAAAGTAATAACCACTTCAAAGCCTGCCTACTTGAGAGAAAAAATTCTATTTAACTTTGTTGTTCATGATCGGTTGCTTAGAGATAGGTTGAGTATCAGAATTCCGCCTCACTCTACAGTCTTATTCACCCGCAGTTTTTCTTATAATTCGGCAGTTCTATATAATTCGTTGGAATATTCCTTTAAATGTATGAGCTTAGCAAGTTTTCGTAAGCATGTAAGGATCAGGCTGCTTGACTGATACTATCCTTTCCACATTCATCATCCAATCAGACTTTATATTTATTACGTTGAGAAGCTAATATTATTATTAGGCGCATGATATGTATGTATATATAGGTATGTGTATGTGTGTGTGTATATGTGTATATATGTGTGTATGTATGTATGTGTATGTATATGTATGTACATGTATGTATATATATATGTATATAATATGTTTTGAATTTAATTAACATCACTGTATTTATTGATTCAGCTGGTTAAGTGTAAGAGTAGCATTGCTAAACTTGGCCAGTTGAGTCCCACTTTCAGTATGTACCATGTACATATTTTTTTGTAATAAAGGCGTATATTATTATTATTATTATTATTATTATTATTTACCCGTATGATTCTGCGTGAGTTTGATAGAGATCCGACCACAAGTGTTAGGAGAGTTTCTGGTGCCTTGGGGATTTCAGCATGCCATGTTCACCGTGTTCTTAGAAATGACCATAGACGTCCTTACCATTTGCACCCTGTGCAAGGACTACAGCCCGGGGACGGAGAACGAAGAATCACATTTTGTCAGTGGATAATAATAGGGAGTTTTTAAGTAACGTTTTATGGACCGATGAGTCATGCTTCACTAGACGTGGAGTGGTAAATTTTCATAATCAACATATTTGGTCGCATGAAAATCCGCATGCAGTTCGGGAAAGAAATTTTCAGCATGACTTTAGTGTGAACGTGTGGATTGGTATCTACCGTAATCGACTATTTGGACCCTACCTTTGCCTGCAAGGTTAAATGCTGCGACCTTCTTGGAATTTTTAAAGGCTGAACATGCAAATATGTGGGATGATGTTATGTTAGATTTAAGAAGATTGGCCTGGTTCCAGCTTGATGGTTGTCCAGTTCATTATACGAAAATAGTTAGAAACTGGCTGGACGAAAATTATCCAGAAAGATGGATCGGCCGTGGAGGACCAGTCGCCTGGCCTCCACGATCCCCTGACCTAAATCCATTAGATTTCTTTGTGTGGGGATTTCTAAAAGAAAAAGTCTACCAGATTCCCGTAACCACAAGAGATATGGTAATAGACATAATCAAGAATACATGTGATGAAATAAGGCCTTATTTGAATAATGCTATACCACGTTCGATCATTCGTAGATGTGAATTGTGTATTGAACAATTGGGTTTACATTTCGAGCAACTACTCTAGATTTTGGATGTTTGTCCTAACTATCCAATAGCATTTTAGTTGTAAATAATTAATTTAATTTGTTTAAAATAATATTGGAAAATTAAATAAATTAATATTCTGCTTTTTGTGTTTATTTGGAGTTAGGAATTATTGCTGTGTTTAAAAACACAATCTAAACGATCATTTTAATTACTTGTAATGCCCAAATCGAAAATGTAAAACAAATATTTTCCCATAAATAATTATTAAAAATGCACTGAACCTTAAACATCGAAATATCTCAAAAATGGCTAACTATAACGAAAACTCACAGGAGAGCTTTTTTATGTTGAAAAGTGCGAAGAATCAGTTTTTTTATTCAAAAAGCAAAAAATTGCACTAAGAAAAATTTTTCGGTCATTTTAATACACTACAGGTACAGTAGAGAGCGCCCTCTAGCGGCTACAGTAAAACTATGCCCATGGTTCGTTTTGTCGTACCAAAAAACCCTTGTATACCAATTTTCACTGTTATACATCAAATATTGTTCGAAACATTTGAAAAAAACTATTTTAGAAAGTAAATTTAAACACCCTGTATTTCGGAAGCCACGCATTTTTCGACCCATGTTTGTATAGACTTTATTCATTAATTTTAAAAGTTCTATCGAATCTTAAAGTTATGCAACAATAAACTGAAACACCCTGTATACTAAGTGACATAAAATGCCACACTCAGAATTATTTATTGAATTTTTATAAAAACGTGTAAACATATTCGCTACCATGGAAGTATACGCTGGTAAAATAAAATCTCAATACATAATTCCGGATGTCGCATTTTATATGTCACTTAGTATATTTAGGGGGGGGGATTAAAACAGGAAATTCTATACGTATCGACCACCGTCTTTAGGTGTCAACGTTGCCACCTCTTATACTGTTGCACCTTGGAAGGTTTCGTTCAAGAATAAACAACTTTCTTTAAAGACAAAACGAGGACTGTTATTCTTACTTTAGAGTGCGAATGTAAATTGTATGTGACATCTTCTTGAAGAATGATGTAAGGATGTACTTTTAAAAAATTTAACCGGTCTTCAAGGACCTATGTATTGTCTGGTCGAGTTTTCTTTTTGAAATGTGATGTTGTGTTACCAAAAATAAATTCAAGGTTATCGGGAACGTCGGAAAATTTCAAATGTTTTCGTGCCAGTACAAAACAAAGGATTTTGATTTATATGCGATTTTATCTTTGGAGTATTTGTTGTTCAGCTTTTATGGAAAGATAAAAGTAGATTTACTGCT